TTTTGTGAGGATGTCTCAGGCGAGGGCGCCGGTTTGGGATTCGTCACCGGATCCAGCGGATCCAGCGGATCCGTCCGGAAACGGTGCCGGAGGCCGCTCTGGGCTCCTCTGGGCATCCCCCCCGGGGCCCGTTTTGTGAGGATGTCTCAGGCGAGGGCGCCGGTTTGGGATTCGTCACCGGATCCAGCGGATCCAGCGGATCCAGCGGATCCGTCCGGAAACGGTGCCGGAGGCCGCTCTGGGCTCCTCTGGGCATCCCCCCCGGGGCCCGTTTTGTGAGGATGTCTCAGGCGAGGGCGCCGGTTTGGGATTCGTCACCGGATCCAGCGGATCCAGCGGATCCGGATCCGTCCGGAAACGGTGCCGGAGGCCGCTCTGGGCTCCTCTGGGCATCCCCCCCGGGGCCCGTTTTGTGAGGATGTCTCAGGCGAGGGCGCCGGTTTGGGATTCGTCACCGGATCCAGCGGATCCAGCGGATCCAGCGGATCCGTCCGGAAACGGTGCCGGAGGCCGCTCTGGGCTCCTCTGGGCATCCCCCCCGGGGCCCGTTTTGTGAGGATGTCTCAGGCGAGGGCGCCGGTTTGGGATTCGTCACCGGATCCAGCGGATCCAGCGGATCCGTCCGGAAACGGTGCCGGAGGCCGCTCTGGGCTCCTCTGGGCATCCCCCCCGGGGCCCGTTTTGTGAGGATGTCTCAGGCGAGGGCGCCGGTTTGGGATTCGTCACCGGATCCAGCGGATCCAGCGGATCCAGCGGATCCGTCCGGAAACGGTGCCGGAGGCCGCTCTGGGCTCGTGCTCTTCGCGCCGGGGGTGAGGATGACGTGAGTTCCACAGAAACTCCCTCAAACAAAAGTCCGCTTCTGTCATGGAGGTGCATCGTGCATCCCTCGTTTTCTCGTTCCGCACCAAGGAGGAAGAGGCGCGTCGAATGGCTCAGCCGTCCCTGTACAACGACTTTTTTAAATGCGGAGGGGGAGGAGGAAGCATACGATTAACGAGCATCAATGGCAGGCGGGAGGGCGAGCGAGGAGGAGGAGGAGGAGGAAGAGGAGGAGGAGGATGGGGCAAAGGAGAGAAGACGAGGATCCGCGGCCCCCACAAGGGACCCACAAGCTGTGAGGGCTGTAGACTGTCCAGTTCCCTACGCCGGTTCCACTGTTCCCAGGTTCTAGTGCCAGAGCTCCTCTTGCCTAGCCCCCTACAGGGGGATTTTCGACGAAAAAATCAAACTACCCAAAACATATTCCAAAAAGGTCAGAACATACTCAAAAAATAGTCCCCAGACTAGTTTTGGAATATCTTTTGAGTAGTTGGGGGTAAGTGTTATTTTTCGTAGAAAATCCCCCTGCAGGGGGACAGGCGCGACTTAATTCTAGTGCCAGAGCTCTTCTTGCCGGGCCCCACGACTGCGATTTTTCTGCAGCCCGCGCGGAGGGGGGGGCGCGCAAAACCGAGGCTGCGCTCCCTCGTACATCACGTCGCGCTCGCCGACTCCATCGTTCCCAAGATCTAGTTCCCAAGTTCTAGTGCCAGAGCTCCTCTTGCCTGGCTCCACGACTGCGACTTTTCTGCAGCCCGCGCGGAGGGGGGGGGGGGGGCGCACAAAGCCGAGGCCGCGCTCCCTCGTAGACCTTACCAGCCTCGAAACGATCCCTATCCCTAAGACTGACGCGCCAGAAGGCGATGACAATCGTAGGGATGTGCCCTCAAAAAACAAGGGAATCCCTGAGATTGGCATCGTGATGAGGAGACGCCCAGCATAGGGATAGGGATATGTTCCAGGCTGGCAGAAATTACACGTCGCGCTCGCGCTGCCGAGGCTGGTCCCTGGCGGATGTTGCGCCAGATCCGCTCTCCACGTTCCCTGCTGCTTCCACCAGGGCAGCACTCCCGCTGCTGCACCCCCCCCCCAGCATTAAGTCGGGCCTGTCCCCCTACAGGGGGATTGTCGACAAAAAATACCTCCAAAATGCACCAAAAAGGTGAACAAATACTAGAAACATAGTCCCCAGACTATTTTTGGAGTATGTTTGGACTATTTGGGGGGTATTTTCTTTTATTTCTCATCCAAAAACCCCCTGCAGGGGGACAGGTCCGCACTCCCGATGCTGCACCCACTCCCCTAGCATTATGTTGCTCCCATCGTGCTTAAGGACCACATCCCAGAAATAATCTCGAGCACCCGGAGACGTGTCGAAAGAGTCTCGAAAGAGGGTTGAGACGGTGTCGGGCGAGTGTCTCCCAGGGCCCGCCACGTGAAAACCCTGAGTTTTGGGGTGCTTTTCTGGCGCCCGAACTTCTTTCTGGTGGTCAAGGCTAAAGCAGGCTGGAACATCATAACCCTAGCACACTACAGCGAGCTTGCGTTAGGTCGGGCCTGTCCCAATACAGGGGGATTTTCGACGAAAAATAAAACATACCCCCAAAATAATCAAAGAATTATCCCAAAATAGTCCGGGGACTATTTTTTGAGTATTTTCTGACCTTCTGGGCGTATTTTTGGGGATATTTTTTTTTCGTCGAACATCCCCCTGTAGGGGGACAGGCCCGACTTAACCCTAGCGCACTACAGCGAGCTTGCGCCGCGCCCCCGAGGCCACAGAGTGCCACAGAGTGCCCGGGCCACAGAGTGCTCACGGAGTGTTCAGGCCACAGAGTGCCCGGGCCACGGTGTGCTGCATCACCCAGGGCCTCCTAAACCAAGACGCTGCTGAACATGACTCTGAAACCTCGCCTCGATCGCATAGTTGATGCACCTAAGAATTAGAGGTTCCATTGCACATGTTCAAAGAGTGTATGCACTTGTTGTGTAGGTTCGACGACAATTTCAAGCGTGGGGTAAATCAATTCTGTAGTCGATCCCCTACTCGAACCTGGAGAGAGCGGGGAACGGAGAGTGCCTCGACCTACACGCCTGAAAGCTCCCAGGGCGCGCCGAGTGTCCTGGTTCGCCAGAGACTTCCCCATTCAGGTGGGACTCTCCATTACCCCTGGGTGGAATTGTGGAATTTTGAGAGTCGCGGGTTATCGGGCAGCCACCGTTGATCCGAAAGTCCCCGTTCAACTCGTTCCACTCTTTTCACAGGCATGGTTAGCCCTGTCCTGGTCCAGAGGGCCCTGAATCGCGCTGTCAGTGGCCATGTCTCAGCGGCGAGCCGGGGGGGGGGAAGTGAGAAGGAGAAGGCCCTCTCAGAAGGCGGCGGGACTTCTCAGAATCCCTTCGGCCTTCTGAAAAGTCTTCGGCACCTTCGGGGAGAAGGCTCAGACTACCTCTCGGAAGGCCGGGGAACTTCCGAGCCTTCTGCGAAGGCCCGCCCTTTCTCTAAGACGAAGCCAGGACGAGGACAACAGTGGGGGAGGCTACATCGAGAAGCTCTGAGATCGGGCGGCTCTGGAGAGGATGTCTCGGGCGCCGCGCTCTTCTCAACTCGCTCCGGAACGCTCTTGGAGCGGTCTGGAACGCTCTGCAACGGATTTGTCCTGGTCCTGGCCCCGTCCGATTCCCAGACATGCGACGTCCTGCTTTTTCAGGGCGGCGTTCCCGGAAGTCCCGACTCTCTCCCTGGGAGCGGCTGTTCATCCTGAATCGTTTTCGACGGCCCCGGGGCCTGTCGAGGGCCTCGAGAGGCCGAAAATGACAAAAAAACGCCGTCCCGATTTTTTACGACGCGATCATTTCCGGGTTCTCATTCGCCCCCCAGGCTCGCGGCCGAATGTCGCACTGCTCGCACTCCTACAGGCGGATCTTGGAAGAATGCTAAAACATGGAATCAATGCCTGTTCAAAAATCATCAAGACAAGTGGTCAACAATTCAAAATTGGTCGTCCCCGGATTATGTTTGGACTATTTTCGAGTCTGTGGAGGGGCACGCCCTACGTAAGGTTGAGCAGGGACCGATCGTCCCGACATTCTTATAGTCCTACCACGACATGTTCCTAGAACCCAAAGGTCATCGAATAACAAAAACAATGTTCTCAGAACATTAGCCCGATGTGTTCAAACAAGACAGTCCCCACCAGAAATGTTCTAAGAGCATTCGTGCAAACCACGAAAGGCTCTTAGAACATTCTTTGGTAGGCCTATAGGCGAGCCAAGACGCTTCGCTACTACTTGATTTTGGACTATTTGGGAATCTTCCTCCTGTGGAGGGACAGGCCCGACGTAAGCCGGGCTGGGCGAAAGGGGGGGGGATAGCAAAGGGGGGGGTGAGAATCAACGCACGTGGCTGATTTTCCAGGCGCCGGGAGGCGCCCATGCATCGAGGCATGGGCCCGGCGGCGGGGCCGAGACCAGCTGCACGCAGCAGATTTCGACCCCCCCCCTTTCCCTATCCCCCCCTTTCGTTCGGCCCGAGGAGGAGGGAAGAAGGAGGGAGGAGGGATGGAGGGAAGGGAGGGAGGGAGGGAGGGAGGGAGGGAGGAGGGAGGAGGAGGAGGAGGAGGAGGTGAGGAGGTGAGAGGAGGAGGAGGAGGAGGAGGGCGCCCCGCGGAGCATGGCGGCACGCTGTCCGCTCGCAGGGCTCCGCGTGTTGCCACTGCCGCGCGGCCGCGCCGCGGCGGCGCCAGCACTCCCCGGCCGGCAGCACTGACCCCTCGAGAGGGGGCCAGCAATGAAGGGGCCCCAGGACACACAAACAAAGACACGCAAATGAAACAATTCCCCATATTATTGTCCTACATTTTCTGGGCTTCTGTCTTCCCCCCCCCCACTGCCCACATGTTCCCCTGTTTCCTGGGGGTCGAGGATTCATTGTGCCTGTGTGTTTCTCCCCCTCCTGACAGGAAGCCTCACCGCACCCCTGTCGTTCGGCCCGAGGAGGGAGGGAAGAAGGAGGGAGGGAGGGAGGGAGGGAGGGAGGGAGGGAGGGAGGGAGGAAGGGAGGGAGGGAGGGAGGGAGGAAGGGAGGAGGAGGAGGAGGAGGAGGAGGAGGAGGAGGAGGAGGAGGAGGAGGAGGATTCATTGTGCCTGTGTGTTTCTTTCCCTCCTGACCGTGAGCCTCACAGCACCCAGGGGTGCTGCAGCGCAGCCGCCGCCAGCGGCCGGCCCGCGGGGTCCTTGCGGAGCAGCTGCCGGATGAGGTCCTCGGGCCGGGCCGCGGGCGGCACCGCGGCAGGGCCTGGAGCGCAAGACTCGGGGGCGCGCACACATGCCCTGACCTTCCAGAAGAGGAGGAGGACGAGGAGGAGGAGGAGGACGAGGAGGAGGTGGAGGAGGAGGAAGAGGAGGAGGAGGAGGAGGGAGGAGGGAGGAGGGAGGAGGGCGGCTGAGGAGGAGGGCGCCCTTGCGGAGCAGCTGCCGGATGAGGTCCTCTCGGGCCGGGCCTGGAGTGCAAGGCTCGGGGGCACGCAGACATGCCCTGACCTTCCAGAGAGCTATGTTTTAGCACTGGAGAGCTAAACACCTGAAAAGCTGAGCGAAACAGCCTCAAACCAAGACGCAGAATGGCTTTGGGATAGGTTTTTAAGTCGGGTGCTATTTTTTAGCCCTCCTGGAAGGTCAGGGACATGGGTCAGCGATCCACGGATGTGGCGCGCGGTCGCCAAACCTTAGGTCGGGCCTGTCCCCCCACAAGGGGATTGTAGACGAAAATGAAAAATAGCCAGAGAATGCCAACAAACAAATGCTCCAAAAAGTAATCAGAAAATAATCCCCAGAGAATTTTCTGACTATTTGTGAATGTTCCTCCTGTAGAGGGACAGGCCCGACTGAGCGGCAGGGCCTGGAGTGCAAGACTCGGGGGCGCGCGCACACATGGATTAACTCGATCCACGGACTTGGCGCGCGGTCGCCAAACCTATGGATCGGGGGAAGTGCCCTCCCTATAAGATGCGGCCGGTGCCGCCTCGTTCGGCGGCGGGAATCCGCGACCTTCCATGGAAACGGGGCCCGTCGCTAATCCACGCCCCCTTAATCCATGTCTGCGATCGTCTGAAAGACGGAGCTAGGACGAGGACAGATCCGTTCCAGAGCGTTCCCAGACCCCCCAGACCTCGCAACAACCCCAGACCCCCCCAGCCTCGCGAGCACGGGAGGCATCAGGACGAGGAGAATCTCGGGCGAGGATGCATCGAGAAGCTCCGAGATCCGGCGGCTCTGCAGGGTGTCTCGGGTGCCTGGGCCTTCTCGCACTGCGTGCCGGAACGCTCTGAGAGCGTCCCGGGACGCTCTGGAAGGGCCTCGTCCGCGTCCTGGCCCCGCCCAGCTTCAGGCACAGAGGCAGCACGAGCCGGCGGGGTGCAGCCCGAGCCCCCGAAGCCAGCAGGGAGGGGCAGAGTCCACATGCTTTCCCGCGCGGCACCGGCAGGGCACGGACGGGGGCACTCCGGGCGCAGCGGCAGCGCCGGCCAGCAGGGAGGAGCAGCGGGGTGCAGCCCGAGCCCTCCGAGACCGGGGACGGAGCAGAGCTCAGCTGCTCTCCCGCGCCAGCCCGCCCTGGCTCACGCGCGGCGCGAGTCCAACTCGGGAGCGGCCAAGAGGGGGGTGTCCAAGAGGGGGGGGTGCAAATCATGACCGGCGGCACGTGCGCGGCCCAGCGGGGGGGCCAGGGACGTAATGAAATAAGAAGAGGCGCCATAACATCTGGGGAAATATCATGGCCCCCGCCATGATATCCACCCCTCCCTAGTCATCACCCCCCTCTTTGCCGCCCCCGACCAACGGGAGGGCGGGCTCCAGCACCGCGGCTGCCCCCTGCGTATCAGATTGGGCCGGGCACGTCCT